TCCCCATGTTCACGACTGTCAGGGGAAAGCTGTAGATAAGAATATCTGTAAACAGTGTTTTAGTGTCTCCCACACAGCAGTCTGGAACTGCCTCCCCTCGTGTTTCTGAAGGTTCATGGATTTCCCAAATCAGTAGGAGTTTATTGATTTATATGCAGGCAAGCTTGTGTTACTACTTTGGTTACTCTTGTGCTTTTCCCTGGCTACTGCTAATTAGCCTAGATCTTCCAGTGTTGCTTATATGCAGTAGTAAATGAATATAACTACTTGTATTGAGTTATCATAATGCTCTCTCTCTCTCTCTCCCTTCTTTTTTTTTTTTTAATCCTCGTTAAAAGAGTAAAAGCCACTTTGAAAACTTATCTGAGCAATGAAAGAGATCCAGACTGTGACCTGATACTCAGATGGTGCAATCTCCTGCACTTGGACTATCCCATAGCCTCTTGTCACCTCATGCAGTTCTTTTGGGATACTTAGGTGAACAATCATCACCCCCTTGCTACTGCTTTCCTGTTAGTTACCCTCTGAAAGGCTTGTCCTCTCTTTCAATTACAATCCTAGCCTGTCTCTGACATCTCATTGGGATCCCAGCTCAGGTTAAAGATTTTTTTTCTCCCTTCCAAGCCCTCACTCTTCCCTGTGTACACATTTTTTCTCTCTCAGTTGCTGTAGGCAGTCTCACCCTCCTGCTTCTTCAGCCTTGTGATTAACAGAGGTTCCCAGGCTGCAGCTAACCTAGAGGTGTGGCGACACTTGGGGCTTGCCTCCCCAGGCTGCAGGCGGCGTGGAGAGTCCTGGCTTCCCCGAGGCCCTCCGTGCAGGCTGGGAGCCGGGCTGTGGAACGTTTCCTTTCCCCGCAGCAGAAGGCGGGATGCTGCTTTCTCTCGGGAGGTGGCAGCACAGCCAGATGCGATCAGTGTATGCAGTCTGACGCCCAGAGCTGCAAAAGGGTGGCAGGGAGGTGGGGCTGCTGATGGATTCCCTCCGCTGGGAGCAAGGATTAAGATGGGGAGCACGGGGGTGCTCATGCATCGGAGGGATAGCTTCAAGCCCTTTCTTGAAGCGGAACGGAATCAGCCCAGCATCCTCACGGTAACATACTGGGATCCCTCTGTCCTGAGCGTGTTCCTCTGTATCAGCTGCAGCTGATTGTTAGGCATGGTGTGGGGCCCGAGATGCCCACTGTGGGGACAGTGTCATTTGCTGAGCCTGCAGGCACAGCCCCAGTTTTTTTTTTAATTCATGTGTGGGGAAAGGCTCTGCAGGAGTTTGGGCAGAGTCAGTACGTATGGTGGGTTTTGCAGGCACCCACTTTCCTGCAGGATGTCACAATGGTTGCATGTTATTTTAGCTATTGAGCAGTTTAAGCGAAAATGCCAGGAGAAAGGAAGAGCAACAATCAGTCGCCATCCCATTAAATGTTACAACATGCTCCTCTCAGAAGCTCATCTGTGCTTTTTAGCCAGTTTGGAGGCTCCCATTATCTCCTGAGGTTTTAATAGTGGATTATAAAGACGGGGGTACTGTATGGAGTTTAGTGTGGCCATCATCTGGAAAACATACACAGAGGCGAGGTGTTTGCGTTTCTGCAGAGAGCAAGCACAGTCTGGTCCAAAAATCTATGGATATATTGCTTAATCTACCCCTCTGGCTCTGTTCTCTGAATTCAATTTCCCTATGCCAACACTGAATCAACTGGAGATGCTACAGAGCTTTGTTGGGAGGTTGTTTGCCTACTTTTTGAACTTTGAGAAAGTTTTGTGGCAACACAAAATAATCGTAGATTCAGTTTTGCCCCAACAATAATTTGTGAATGCTGTCTGTGGGCTTGTGCATCCAAAAGCAAAGGGTGCTGGAAATCCCAGTTTAGGCAACTCAAATTATTTTACTAGCATCAGCAACTGGAGGGCAGCCAGCCAATCAGCCCTACAGTTCTTTAAAAAGTAATAAAGTGCACCTGATTTTTGCTCCTTGGATGGGAACCACTGGCAACTAGTCCCATATACCAGGTAATTCCTGCTTGTTGCTGCTTAGGGCACCACTGAAACCACACCTTAAGCAGGCAGCACTGAGAGAGCACTGAAGCAGAGAAAGGCAAGAGAAAGCTTGAGGTTCTGAAGAGTTTTTGAAAGTGCTCCAATTCTCTTTCTGAACAGATTTTTCCCGAGTTACCCAAGTGCCCCAGAAAGATTCTGTCACGTTGGAGGACTAGTCATGATAGCTGCTCATCTTCTCTGGGGCTGGGAAGCAGAATGCAAACAGCTCAGGCAGTGAGGACTAAGCAAATCCACCTTTCCTGTCTGCATTTTCCTTCTAACTCAGTTCTGGAGGATCCTCCCACTGCCATGTGGATCCCTGTGCCCTGGAGGGACAAGTTGTGTCAACAGGACCCCCACCAGGCCCTCTGCCTGGTCCCTATGCAGAGCCAGGGCTGCAAGCAGCCACCCCTCCAGGAGCAGTTCCACAGCAGTCCAGTCAGGAACATGCATTCAAACAATTCATGTATAGAGGAGGGAAGCATTAGAGGGATAAATCCCACATAGGATAATGCTAGTGACTGCAGAAAAATAAACAACAAACCACCAGCAGAATGAATGTAAAGGACAAGGGCAGTGACCAAATTCCAAGACACTGGTTTTGAAAGGTTGGTGGTATCTTGCCTTTTGGAACAGTCTTTGACAACTGGGAGAGAGTTTGTCTCATTTTAATTGGGAGTAATCATATTCACAGCAGTTGTCACATGTCACCTAGTCCGTCTGTCTCCCTGCCTTTTCAGTTTGGCAGCTTTCTCTTTTTTCCTCTGCATGTCCCAGAGATTTGAAAAATGATCCATTCTTCAAAGCATCCCTGGTAATTTGGACCACTGTTACACCTCTTTTGAGACTGATGCCTTTCAAAGCTGCAGCCTTTCTTCCTGCAGCAGCTCCTGCAATGCTTTATAACATACAGCCTGAACAGGGGAAAACAGGTCTGAGGAGATATACTTTTACTAGGAGGAAAGACATTAGGGACAGCACCAAAATCAACAGAAAACAGAGTATTTCAAGCAAAGAAGGTAGCTTAGCCCTTTTCATGAAGTGCAGGACTATACTGTCACTAATTTCACTTTGCAAAGTGTACTGGAGATCTCTTAATGCACCTGTTGGTGAAATGTATCTGCATACACAGATCAGTAAATATTAATTAATTAAACATCCATATGCAATATGTATTCTGTCCTATACCATGTTTGCTATCTTTTTTGTTTTCCTAAGAACACGCCCACCTTTTTAACAAGACTTAAGATCTGCGTTGCTACATTGTTTTTGCTGCCAGATACGGAAAGATAAATCCGGACCACATGATTGCTGGCTGCATGGCTTTACCCCATTGGCAACCACCTCCCCCTGGTGACATCAGCTGAGGTGGGGAGACTATAATTTTATACTACAGTAGTCACTTAAAGTGAAAATGAATGTTAACATCTCTCTGGTATGTGTATGCCCTAGTCTACATGTTTAATCAATGTCCTGGTTTCTTATTGAGAAATGTCCTGCTGGAGACATTGCCATACATATTTAGTAATTAGGGTAAGAATTGATGCCTCTGTTAATAAGAAATCTTGCAAATTCTGCTTTGAAAAGAGCTATTTTCATGAAAGTGAAAAGTACATTTTCTCAAGCACCCAACTCCCATTTTCAAAATACTCATTTGCAATAGTCCTGAATATGGAGCAACAGGACAGAAACCTGAATTTATGCAGCTGCAGCATATAGCAATAGAGATGCCCCATAACCAAGCAGCATCTGGGGAAAGGGGCAATTCAGTGAAATGGAAGCTTTCCATGTAGGTAAAGAGAGGCATTAAAGGGTGTTTACATGGTGGAGGGCATTTTTCTTCTTCAAACTTCCCTTTATTGTCTGTGCAGCTTTCAGGCTCAGCTTGACACTGCAAATATTTAGGTATGTGTGTAAGTCAAGGCACAAGTGTCACAAGTCTTTCAAATATTAATCCAAATATTAAAAATTTTCCAACACATCCAATGACAGCATCATCTTGTTCTTACTGCAGGTCCCTGCTTTAGGTTTAAGTCTATTTGGAGACAGCCAGACACCCCACCCCAGCAAGAAGTGGGTTTCAGGAAAAAGCTGTATGCACACAGCAAGGCGGGTACAATGGAGCCAGACCAGAACAGTGCTGTTGGGCCCAAGTACTTATGAGAGGTAGAGTACAGATATTGCTTGCCTGTATCTATGCAAGAGAATGGCCTTTTAGTGCTTCCACAACCTCCTCATTCCCAAATCCATGGAGCAGCACAGTACACAAATGGATTTAGAAGAGGTGGCTCTTCAGAGAGATAGCATCTCCAGGGACCTGCAAAACTGGGTGAAATTTCAAGACCTGCAGTTGTGCTGCTGGGGAGCGAATTGCCCCCAGTTTCCGTATCACGGGGAATACTACCACCGACCTTCTCGGGAAGGTACTGGTGGAGGAAGCTCCCAGAACCAGCCCCTGTGCCTTGTCGTCTCCATCCTTGCAACAGAACAGGCAAGGCTTGAGCAACTCTGGCAGCACCTTTCAATCCATATTGATTGTAACTACTGTAAGCCCAAATCGCACGCCGTAAACGGCGTGTCCTGTCTCCAGCAATTCCATGTTCCTATTTTTAAAAAAATCTGGACTACAGGAGAACAAAAGAGCTACAGCAGCAACACCGCCAGTCCCACCTCGTTCTGCTTCGATTACGATGGGCGAAAACAAGTTAGAAGTTTACTGAGGGCTGAAGGCCGTCATGTGAAGAGGGCAGGGAGGCAAATCCCATGGGATTGCAGCGCACCGAGATCCTGAACACCGGTGGCAGGCTGATGAGCTAACTTAGCACGGCCCCGCCTCGGCTGCCGCCCTCAGGAGAGCGCTCACGTGACCGCGCCCACGTGACCGCGCCCTCAGCCCCCGCCCGCACCTGCCGGCGCCGGAGGGGAGGGGGCGGGGCCATGGGATGGCCCCTCCCACCGCCCCCGCTCCTCCGGGCCCCTGCCGCGCACGCGCGCGGAGCAGGACGGGCTTATTCACGCATCCAAAATGGCGGCCGCAATGGATGTGGATACCCCCAGCGGAACCAACAGCGGCGCCGGCAAGAAGCGCTTCGAAGTGAAGAAAGTGAGGCCCCGCCGGCGCGCTCCTCCGGCTGCTCCCAGAGGGACGGGGTGGGGCTGGGGCCGGCCTGATGCCGGCGAGCGGGACGGAGAAGGGCGCGACTTCCTGCTCCCCTCACGGAGCCGGGTGCCCGGTTCCGCACCGAAGAGGCGGGAGGGGCGGGGCGAGGCGAGGCCTTCGGGGAGTCCTGGCGTGCGTCCTAGCCAATGGCTGAGGCTGGCCGCCGCACGTGCAGCGGGAGCTGGCCAATCAGCGGGCGCGGCTGGCGGGGGCGGGAGCAGGAGCAGGGGGCCCCGACAGGGCCGTGCCGGCCGGGGGATGCCCTGGTCGGCGCTGCGCCGCTCGCTCACCTCGGACGCCACCGCCCCGACGGGCATCGGCTGTTCCGTACCCAGAGCCTCCGGGCAGCTCGGGCCGGCGAGCAGCGCTGGAGTGCTTCAGCCTCCCCATCACCCCCGGCCGCTGTGGCCCAGCCGCCCGGGCTGCCCCATGTGCTGCGTAAAATGCTTTATACAAATGTCTATGACTGACTTTTCTTCTCCGTATTTAAATCGATCCATAATAACGTGTTAGTTAGCGAATGTTTTCATGCCACCCTGGCTTTGCCTCCTTTCTCAGAGCAGCCATAATATCTCTCTCCTATCCGGTGCCACCAGTTTGTCAGCTGGGTCACAGTGATGGTCCGAGGCTCTTCATGAGGGGATAGATTGTGTGGGCTAAGGTATAATTTGAGGAGAAGTGTCCCCTTGACTGAATATCAGTAAACATTTTCAGTGATTCCTGCTTGTAGATGAGTTTGTTTGAAATGCAGCTGCCATCAGTGATGGAAACCCCTGGATCTGTGCAGAAGGAAGTGTTTGGGTGACATATTTGTCATTTGGAAATAGGGAGAGATATAATGAGAGTGGTAGGAAGTGGCATAATTTATGTGTCAGTGAGATTCCTCCTCCCCAGCAAGATACCGAGACCTTTGTTGCACGTGTGGCTCAGTAGAGATGTGTGGGCCATCACATGTCCCATGATGGGACAAGAGATTAAGTACTGGAGTGTATGGGAGAGATAAGGGTGCTGAGAACTTTTATCTCAGCTGCCTTGAAATATGGATGAAGTCCATGAGAGATGAGTACCTCAGCCAGACTTGAAGTTGGAAGATTGGGAAAAAAACGGGATCACTACTGGTGCATGTCCTAAAAGATGTAGTGGTATTGTGAATACTTTTTATATAGGTACTAATGAAAAATTGAAGAGCTTATCAAAGGCGATATTGCCTATCAATACTTGGAAGTCGGCATTCCTCCTTTAGTGTCTCAAACTCAGGGAAAGCAATGAAAATCTTGAGATTGAAATGGAACACGGTAGAGAAGATTTACTATACTACAGTCAGTGCAAATATATACTGAAAAAATATAAGGGGAAAAAAATCTATATTACTTAAGTGTTGAATGAAGATTATCCTGATTACCAGTACAATATTTTGGATTGCTTTGGATGTTGAAGGCAGGCCCATTTTAAAAATGAGTTTACAAAAGACCTGATTATGGATTTTGTCTGGAGGAATAAAAAGGTACCATGTTTTTTTCTGCATAGCTTGCCCTAAAGTCCTCAAACCCTTCCCCTGAAGTAGCATGGGACAGTGCTATTGCTTTTTATATGTATAAAGTAAGTCTTTGAAAGGTTGATTTGGTAGTACTTTGAAATTTTTATATCCAGCCTTGTTGATAGATTGTTGCTTATCAACCTTTTGTGGGGAAGATTATTCAGGAGTCAGTGGAGAATAGCATTAGAGATTTAGTTATTGACCCCAGCTGCTCTGAAGGGTGATTATTAGAAGAACTGCTGCAAATTATGAGAATTCCTCTTAACAAAAATGGCATCTGAATTGGTCTTTCTCCAAGGGACTGTCCTTTCCTACAGAGTTGGGGATTTGGCATGAGCTGCATCCTTTGGATACATTGGATCTTGAATAGAAATCCAAATGTTTGTATTCCTATCACAAAAAAAAAAGGGGGGTGGAGACTGTGGGAGTTACCTTGGTTTTGAAGTGGGAAGGAGACTTGTATCTGGGAGGTTTGTGAGGGGAATGTACCATTGCTTCCTAGTACCCTGAACTCAGGATGAAGAAGATGGACTTCTAAGATTTGTTTTTTCTTAAATATCCCAGCTTTTCTATTTCAAAAAATACATGGGAGCTTGAAGAATAAGCGAGGATTTCTGTCCACTGTAAATTGAATGAAAACTATGTTTTTCTTTTTTCCCCCTCTCTCCAGTGGAATGCCGTAGCTCTGTGGGCATGGGACATTGTGGTTGATAACTGTGCCATTTGCAGAAACCACATTATGGATCTATGTAAGTAAATGGGGGTGGGACACAGTTTGGACTTGTATGTGATGAGCAGCTGAAATTACCCCGGCTGAGGATATAATTCAGCAAAGCTTTCAGTTAGTAACTAACTCTTCTGCTAATCTCTATTTTATAATACTGAAGTCTCATAATCTATTTTTGTGACCTCTGTCACCATACTGCTTCTTCCTCACTCTCTTCTTGTAAAGGGTAGGATCGCTTGATGCCAGATCAACAGACATGATGCTGCTGAGTGTGTTTTAAATGCAACAAAGAAGAAAAGGAGTAATAATAAAGAGGAACTGAAATTATTCAGGGTTGGCAGGCATTACTTAGAAAGAGAGGATTTATATTTCGGAGTTGGGGAGGTTGCTATGAGTGTCAACTTCTCAATGACACTCATTAAGATGAAATCTTGTAACACTCTCTGTGTCTGTTCCTGGCAAGGAAAGGCATGGACTAGCAAATTAATTTGATTCTTCATTCTATGAAACTTACCTTGCCTAACTAGCTTAGTACATGTTATAGTAGGGGGAATTTTGTTGCTGCCTAGAAAATTATTTGTTCACTTACAAAGGAGGATAAGCAAATGCCAAAGTAAAAAGCAATATATTGTTAGTATTGGTTTGATTTTAATTTTTTTTTCTGTATAATCTTGATGGTTCGTTTCTGTCATGAAATAGGTCTGTATGCATGAAGTCACTGTTTTCAGTCCCTTAGAGTATTGGTAATGAGTACAAACCCATTTTTTTTCCTCAAAAATGACAAAGTACTGTTGGCACCCTAACTGTCCATCTTGTTTCAACCATGAAGACCTTTTAACATAACCCAGATAGACATTTGCCTATATTCCTAAAGTGTGAGGCTGGTGGAACCCCCCAAAACAAGACCCAGTCCAAGGACAGTACCTGGGCATGGCCTGTCCTGATCCCATTGGAATAGTTTTGTTGTATTTTGGTTTTATGCAGTTGCCCTTGGAACCAATAGTATTGGTAACTTCCTGTCAATAAGACTGTATGGAAATAAAACACTTCAGAAAAATGAGACTTCAAGTTTATAGGAACAGCTACTGAGAGATGCACCTGATTTTACTCCATATTTAAATAATAATTACAAAATCACTTTCAGAAGCTTTGTTTGGTTTGGGGTTTTTTTTGTTGGTTTTTTTTTTTTTTAATAAAGAGAAAACACACCTTAACACACTGGTCTGAAAATGGGTTAAACAGGTCCACTTCTCTTCCTGGGGACAGATATGTTTGTATTTTGAGCCATCTGCTGCCTATCCATGCTTCAGTTTATTCTTGGTTATTAGACAGGGGATGATAACACTAAAAAGAGCAGGGATTATGAAATAAGTTGAGGTTCTTTAATGTAAAGATTTCCTTTTTAAGTGCCTCTAACTTGTACTATCTTGGAAAGAAGTTTCGAAAGAAGGTGGCCACTGGACTGCTAATTAGTCTCTCAGGTTTATAATATATTAGAGAGGAAAGCCTTTTACTGACAGGCAAGTAAAATTTCAAAGATTCATTAGAACATAAGTTACATTTATAGAATTTACAAATGTATAGAATGAATATATAAAATCCTGTAATTCAAGATAATTATTCATGATAAGAGGGATGTATTTTAAGATTGGAGATGCTGGTGTGTTTCATTCTATCAATCTGCCTGAAAATTAATTGTACCTTCCATGACAGACCAAATGCAGTCTCATATATTTGCTTTTTTTTTTTTTAATAAACAGCAAATAGGACATATGGGATGAAGGAGAGTTGTGGAAGAGCTGGAAGGAGAATGGACAATGCTATTTTTCAGTAGTAAATTTTGTTTATCAATTTAAAAAAAAAAATTTAAAAGTCCTACCAATATGTGGGTCATGGTTCAGAGTATATAGCTAGATTAGGAAAAACAGTAAAGGAAAAGGGCATAGGTAATTTTTTTTCTTTGTTGAGTTGCTCGAGCATAACATGTTATTAATTTGTATGGGCAGTTATAAGGAGCCTGGACTGCAAATGACAGAGTAAAATTGACAGCATACAGAGTAGAAGGGATATCTAAATTGGTATTCCGAGATCAGTGTTGGCTCTGGATTTGCTTACTTCCTTGTTACAGATCATTAATGTTGTTAAAAAACTCTTTAATTAGATTTTCAAACATAGGATGTGAAGTGATGGCAAATTGAGAAAAAATTAATAGAATGTGCAGGGAAGAATAACACAAGATTTGATTTGATAAAATGCAGGAGACAAATGTCTCCCACTCCTAGCAATGAAGAGAAACCTAGAATGGGAAGACACTAGAAGAATGATAAGTAATGCCAGTCATGGTAATGAAAGTTTGTTAACGTTGTAAAGTCAGGCATCAATGTTAAGGTGTCATGCAGTTCTCCCCATGCATGTGCCTTATGACTAAGTAATAATGTGATTCAAAGGATCCCCTCTGCCCTCCGTTTGGTTTGTATTCAGTGTACAGAAGGAGTGAATAGATTTTCAGAGTTTCAGTTTCATTCTTCTCTGGAAAGACAGATTCTGTTCAGATTTTACTTCAGTCTTTCTTCAAAGGCTTGCTGTCTGGTGTTGTCACTGCAACATGGTAAGTTGGAGAGTGTTAACAGTGTGTTTAGTATATTGGATTATCTTCTGGTCTAAAATGTGTGATGTCTTATTGTAAAAGATGACCAGTATAGCTTTGAACTGCAAAATGTGCCATCAAAATCTTGTCCCCTTGCTTTGATGGTAACATACCAAGTACCATGAATCCAGCTTCACAGACATAGACACGTTACATAGAATCCCGAGAAGAATGTCAGGATGTTTATTAGATGGAATGGGTTTGGATTTTTTTCTTGGTGTGTAAATATACAGGTGATTTCTGCAATAGAAAATGCATAGAAAGTGGGCTGGTTCTTACAATGTCAAGATTCAGAAGCTGCCATTATATAAGATGCATTTCTGCAACTCCCTGAGTTGAAATGCTTCCATTGCATCACAACTATTTACAGGTATTTCAGGTTTTAGCTGTATCTTTCTGTCCTCACCTGCAGATACTCTGTCAAAAGCAAGGCAACAGAAGAGTAATTCAGATTTGCTCCAGTACCTGTTACTATGTGACTCTTAAGGCTTCTTTTGGGTCAGCAGATGGTAAATAGCTTCTCTTTCCTACAAGAGCCAGGATCATCAGCTTTCATTCTAGGATGGAGATTGTCCATGTGGTGTTTTTTGGTTTTTTTTATTTGTTGATATATTGTCTTTTTCTGAAATAAAGCAAGTACAAGACCAGAAAGTGCTTTGGCTTTTGGGAGGTCCTTTTTTGGTAGCCAAAGGCAGCAGTGCTAGAAGTAGTCTCCAGTGTATTTCATAAGGGAGCTAAACCTTGGTGTCTTTTTGGAAGGGCTTTCCAACACCACCAGAGAGCTCCTTCTCAGCCACTTCCACAAAAGTTCATCTGTCTCTTAAACTTTTGGGACTGTCATGCTTTAGACTGTCAATGAAAGTTTAGGTTTGTCAGTGAAGGTTTGAGTAACACTGAAATGAATGTCAGTGCTGCTTCTTTTCCTTACCTAAAACATCTTTATTCACTCTCACTCCCAGGCAAAATACAGAGTCCTTTTAATCCTGAAAAATTAAAAATTGTGTTCATGCGGCTGTAATGTTAGGGCCTCTTAGAGAGGAAAAAAAATAAGACAAAATAACATAAAAAGTGGGCTAGATGGTCTTCAACTCTAATATGCCCAATATTTTGTTTCCAGCAGGGAAAGAGAAAAAACAAGATAAATATATTGTGTGCTAGAGTATTTTCCTTGCTTTCAGCAGAGGTTTTCTGAGTTAAACTTAGCTTACTCTGACTTTTCTCTCTTCAGATGAATTTCCTCATCTTTTCCTACTATTCATCTTCTCACTATTATCTGTTACTGTACAGACTCTGGCTAGATATTTAAAAGTTAATATACTATGCCCCATGACCATGAGTCCATACTGCAGTAAGAGTAAAATTGTTGCTACAATCTCAGGTGTAGAATTTTATACAATTATCCAAAGTAACTGAAGTTCTCCGAGGGTCTTGAGCATCTTCCATATTCTTAATCAGATTTAGTTTTATTGCTGTATGTATTGAGAGATTCAGGAATTGAGATATCAGATCTTTCAGAGGTACTGGATTTTGTTTCCTTCTATAGGCAGGCAAGGGATTGAGCTTTGGACTTCCTGCTGTGGTATATCATATCTTTGATGTAAACCATATGATAAATACAAGTTCATTCAAATCTTGCAGAACAGCTGTTGCTACTGAGTTTCTTTAGACATCACTCTTGTTTTGAGTAGTTCCTCATGACCAAGGTTGATATCTCTTGCATCTCAGAAAAAACGGGCCTTTCTTTTATTTTGTGCACCTCCACACCTAAAAAGTGTGAAAAATGGAGAAAGGGATGAATGGAGAACAAATAGAGATCACATTTTTCAGCCAAACCTGTGGGATTTGAAAGTTTTTGAATCTTTAATTGGTGAATCAAATTCCTTTTCCTCTAAGCATATTCATGCACACAAAGAGTGAACAGAGAATTGGAACTCATTCAGACATCTTCTTTGCCAGGAAAAAAAAAATCTGTAAAACAAGAAAAAGCAAGCCCGTGTATTGAGTTCTAAGATGATCCTCTATAAGCAGATCTTTTAAAATCGTTTAGGCTTGACTCTTAAAGTAGGCATCCTTTAGCAAGAAGTAAAATTTTAGTCTCATAGGTTTGTGCTGCTGATGGTGGAGGAGTTGGAAATACTTTTTTTACTTCTAAAGTTTCTTCTTGAGCTGGTGCAGAAGTGAATTGTTCAGGCTTTAGAATGGAGATTTATTTTCTCAGTGTTGTTCTTCTTTCCTCACTCTTTTTTCGTCTCCTTTATCCACGCTATCTGACAGAAAAGCCCAAAACAGAACCCAAACTGCTAACTAGTTAGGGTTGGGGATCCTCCTGGGTACTCAGCTCCAAGATATAAAAAGTCCAAGCCATACTGTACTTCCTATTCTGGATTTTTGGGATGTACTTGCCCATCACAAGACTATAAAATAAAGACAGGCAAACTCCAGCATTACATGAGCAAATTAATTTGCAAATGAAGTTGAAATGTCTGACAGGGACATAGAAGACTTTGTATTGAGAGAAACCCGAGTAAGAAGTTAAGGTAAATGTACTGTCAACTCGTCGTCAAAAGACATCTCTGTGAGCACAAGAGATAGAAATGAAAATATTTATCCTTGAAATTTTGGAAGCAGACTCATATTTCCAGCAGATGAGCTATGTACTCTTGCACTCTGAAATTTTGGAATACTAAAAAAGTAGAGGAAGGAGGAAATCAGGATTAAGTATGTTTTGCTGTTATACTTTTGAAAAAACAGTACACATTAAACCATAGCCCTTGATACTTTCTGGTGTGTTAAATACCACAACAGAGCTCCTCCTCCCCTGCCTACATTTGCTCTTAGGAAGGAATCTTCCAGTTATTGTTGCATGTACTTCTTCAACCCCTGTGTATATTTGTTCAATCTTTATTTTCACAGGCATAGAATGTCAAGCCAACCAAGCATCGGCTACCTCTGAGGAGTGCACAGTTGCATGGGGCGTCTGCAATGTAAGGAAAACTTTTATTGTGGAGCTTGTGTGGGGTGATGCTGTCCTCCTTTTTTGAAGATGTGGGACAGAATGAGTTCTGTAGCATGTTTCACATAATCCACCAGAAATAAGAAATTTAAAGCCCTTATGTTTACTAGAATAGAGAAAGGAGACAAAGAAGAAAAGGAAAGAAGAAGTGGTTTAATTTTTTTTTAAGGAATAATAGATCTTTCATTCTGAGCATGATTTTCCTGATCATGGTTTGCCTAGAAGTTATACCTTTTCCTTTCCCCTGGTAATAGGATCACTTGGATGTCAGCCTGTTTGGTTTGTCTATGTGCAGGCTAATTCAGAGAGTCAGTCTGGGGTAACCAAGTGATTAGCTTCCAGTTTAGGGTACAATCAAATCAATTGGTTCCACTAGCATGCGAACTCCAAACACTCCAAACTTGAATACCTCTTAGCTAGCCTGGACCTGAATTGGAAAATAAACTATTCCATAGTGAAATAACTTCCTGATCTTCAGTCCCATCTTTACTGTGCTGTGGGATTGAGTTATAACATGATAATGCTGGAACAGGACTATAAATGTTGCAATTCTGTTTGCAGAGGACAAGAACAAAATTTTTAATCATGTCAGGATATTCTAGTGTCAAGATTATGTTGTTGTGTGTGAGAGTCACCACAAATGAAACCTTGGTTTTAAGTAGCTGTATAGGTAAGAGAAAGGATGCCCTTATTAAACACATAAATGAGATTTTTTTTTTTCTTTCTAATTTTGCAAACTCTTTTTTATTATTTTTATTATGCAGGCTCTGGTATCTCCTGTAAACTGACAGAAAGCTTCCTTCAGCATGTATACATTCATATCATCCCTGCTACTCACTCTGAAATCCTCTCTTTTCTTTCTGATTGTGCTTCTTATCAGCATCTGCTTTGCCAATTTTAGCAGCTGCTAAACTCTGCACTCCCTCCTTCATCAGAAGTCAGTCAGTTGCCACTGCATGCACTGTGGAACAGGCTTTCTGCTGCTGTTTCACTAATGTTTCCTCCTCTCCAAAAATGTGGATCAGTTCCTTGGTGTTGATCAGCTAATTGAGTGATCAGTTGTCCCCACCTTTGCCTGCAGACTCTTGCTATTCTCTTTGATGCTTTCAGTGGTAGTTTTCACATTGAGATGCATTCATGCATTCTGAAATTATGTGATCTGAACTTTGTCTTCCAGCACGCTTTCCACTTCCACTGCATCTCTCGCTGGCTCAAAACTCGCCAAGTGTGTCCGCTGGACAACAGGGAATGGGAGTTCCAAAAGTACGTATCCTGCACAGATTTCAAGATGAAAAGTCCACTTGTCCTGTAAATATAAATGATCAATGTCAGATTGGTGTGTCTGAGGACATAGTTGTTGTTCAGAGAGGTTCTTTCCTTAGTCACCTGGTTCTAAGCGAGCTCTGAAGGAAGTCTAAACAGCTGTGGAATATGTGGGAGCTGTTGAAAAGTAGTGGTTTCTACTGACATTCTTTCTAAAGAGTGGAGAGCAGGAGAGAAATGGCATTAGCTGGAAGTGGAGTCTCAGGTGAATACTGTGCTGCTGCATGAGCAATTTGGGTTTAGAGGATGACCTGAATTCAGCTGTTCGGGTTCCAAAGTGTTTCTGCTGAGGTGCTAGACATCTTATTGGGTCCCTTTTTTATCTTGATTTGGTTTATAACTCAGCCTCAGAGATTAATAGAGCTGATTTCCTAGCATCTGGAAATCAAGTGTCCATGTAGCCATTCCTGCAGTTTTGGCCCATTTATTTATAATTGCTGTATTGTTTGTTCTATTTAATATTTTTTAAAGGTCTCATGTGAAGAATAGTGGTAGGAGATCCAATAATGGGTTTTTGAGGGATAATCATATTTTGAGAGGCAATTGTCCATTGAGAATAGTTAGGAAGTTTGCCTACCACTTGCTTCATTCTGCACCACTGATCTAGTAATCTTTTCTTAACTGTGGATTGTCCCTCTCCTCACCTACTTTAAAAAAAAATAAATTAATTCTAGTCAGAGTCCAGATTTAAACAAAGCAAAATAGGTATTATAACTGTTGAGGATTGTGTTTGGGCTCTGATACACAGTCAATTGTGCAAATCATCATTTACATGACAACTGAAGTACCATAGTTTTGATATTAAAATGTTTTCCTGAACAATGAAAACTGAGTCCATGTTGCCTGGCTAATCACTTCATATTGCATGGGCAGCATGATGAGAAACAGAAACATGAATTAATATCTTCTGATGTGTGCTCAGTGTTACTTCTGGGGCTGTGACAAGCTTTGGCCTTGTTTCATGCCAGATATATTTGAAGTGGGATTCAGGGTAAAAGATAACTGGTACTGAGATCTATTGCACATGGTGTTGTGGATTCCTCAGGCTCACTTCTAACTGGTGTCTGGGTAGCCTTTTGGGGGAAGTGAAATGTGAAGAACTTCCTAAGATTTCCTTAGCAGCATTTCACCTTCATCTCATTTACATGTTAATTATGCTGTGGTAGAATGAACATAAATCCACCCAAACCAGCACTCCTATGAATTGTGATTTTTAAAAAAGCATTAACATGTTATCTATTTGCAGGTATGGACACTAGAGAGATGGTCACACGCTTCTTGTTATGTCATCGAACTCAGTTGTTCTTGTCGCTATGAGTTTGGTTTAGTGACTTGGAAAGTCAGTAATGTATACAATTCTTCTTTCATGCTAATTTCTTCCTATTGTATATCATTGAATAAAGTCTTGCTGGAGCTTCCTGTCAAAGTCTTTTGTCTTGTGTTCAGGAGCAGGCAGTCAGAGCATGAGGAAGGAGAATTATCTGCAGACTGGGGACCTTATGCTAAGCTTAACTCTTTAGTGGGGCAGTGCTTCTTTTTTGCTGTGCCAGACTTCTGACTGTGAATTTAGTCCTACTCCCACACGTCTGAGAACCACACCTTTGGCTCATTGAGGTTGGTGTTAAGCTCATTGTGTAGTGCAGTGTGTGCAGGACTTGGCCTGGCTAAGAGTAGTTTATGTAAATAGCTTTTTGTGTGGACATGTTTATTACAGCAGAGTTGAAATGATCTATACAATTATGGGTTGTGTCATATTAGAAACTGTTCTCTCACTTCTGGTCTTGTGTTTGACTAGACCACCTCCCCTGCAGAGGAAATTTTCACTAACTTCCCAGTTCTAGCTGTTTAGCTTTGGGGAACAGAAACAGGATGTCACTTTTTGTCAGCGTTCATAAGGCACTTTCATGTGTTGAGTGAAAGTAAACTCAGGAAATTCATGTGCTAGATTGACTGGAAAGCTAGAAGTAAGCAGTATATAAGCAAACCAATTCTTGGTTGGCTTTCTAGTGGTATTTTTCCCAGTTCAAGTCCAACTGGCCAAAAATCATTCCTTTGAAAACTATGTAGTGTTCTGTTTGGTGTCTCCTCTGCCAAATGGCCTGGTATCCTACTCACTGCATCAATTTTTGCCCTCTATGTCAAGAGCCTCAGCAGATGCTGGGAACTGAAACTGCATCCAATAAATTCTTCCTGCTATAAAAGGCTCCCTCTTTATGTCAGCAGTGGTAGTGGCAGACATGGTAGATTTCTGTCCTTGGCTATTCATGATGCCATCTTTGGATGTCATTTTTTTACTACATACTGAGGATGGGAAATTTGATAGCTGATATTAAACATTCGTGTACTCTAGTGATAGGGAATAGGGCCATTGACAGAACCAAAACTTGCAGGTTTTTCAGTAATTGCTGGGGCTTTCTCTAATCTGCAGCAAGCAAATGTCAGGATTATTTTATCAGTTGGTGTCATTGCTCTGAAATTACATGGCTCTCTGTTTTCCACCCTTAAGAAAAAAGCCAGGAACAAGTAGGACTAAAAGAGTTGATAGCTAGACAGCTTATTCATCATGTTTCTTGATAGAAAACTCATCCTGAATTTGCCAGGTAGTTTTCGTGATGGAGGCAGGAAGGGAACAGAAGAGGAGAGGGAAGATGATCTCAACAGTGGTCAAAGTATTCATCCAGGCAACAGGGTATCCAGGTTAAATGCCATTCCCTGAAATTTGAACTCCTATTTAATGTCCTGTCGAGATGAGTGAAATGTCAGATGTCCCTGTTTTTGATTGTCCATTTTGTTTGCAGTGTTTGGTTTTTCAGGACCTGGTACCCAGATGCTCACCAATTTATACCCTTGAGAACTTTGTTTTGGGTCCAACTACATCGGTCTGATTCATCCTCCTTTCATCTGTGCATATTGCCCTGAGCATATTTTTTTAGCTGGGACAGAAACGTTTTCCTCTCCTCTGTGGCTTCGTGTGCATTTGCTTGAGGCTGTGCCGGCAGAAAGACAAGGGGGTTTGGTATTTTTTATTGCCTTTTTTTTTTTAATGTACCCTCCAAACGGCTGGCTACAGGCACTTTCTCCTAAACACCCTTTGAAACTCTGTTCTGCTGCAGTGCGTAAAACTCTGCTAAATTTGATTTTAGATTTCCTTTGTAGTGTCTATCCCAAACCTGGTTTTCCCAAATGGAAAAATACAGAGCGTAAAGCACCAATTGCTTACATGCCCAGGTAAGAAAATCCTTTTTCAGCTGCTGCCCGTTGCAGTGGCCCTGCTGCCACTTGCCCTGCTGCAAAGGTGATGGGCCACGGCTGCTGCAGCTCAGGGCTGCTGGTAGCTCTGTTTTCTGTAGTGCATTAAGGGCTGTGTTTGGAGAGACAAGGAAAAGCTTCAGTGGGTGAGCTCAGAGAGAAGCTGTGTGGCATAGGCAGCACCAGGTGAAGGTACAAAAGATCTCTTTAATCCAAGGGCACAAAGTGCCCCATTTCTCCAGGGAATGCCTGCTTGCTCGGGCTGGTATCGCTCTTTCCTAACTTTTACTGTTCAGCCTCTCCACCTCTGCTAGATGTGGGAGAAAGCCCATTTATTCCCACTGCCTTTTTTCCTGAAGCAACAATCATTTTTGACTGCAGCTTCCCCTTTTTGCAAAATACAGAGAGCTTCTTGGGGAGGAAGGAGGAATAGGGCACATTTCTAAGTATCCTGTGGTGAAGATAGGTGCACAGGGGAGAAACGACCATGCCAGTGTGGTTTGCCCATCCTATAAATGGAGAATGCATTTGAAAATAAAATCAGGAGAGAATGACAGTTAAAACTGCAGAGAACAGTGTATCCTGCAGCTGCCTGGCTTAGAGAAAAACAAATCACTGGTAGACCTGCTGTGGAGCAGAAGGTAATTTTGACATTTCTGATTCTTTCTACAAGTCTGTCAGCTGAAGCAGGCTGCATTGCTGAGCAGGCCATGGCAGAGAGCAGCCAAAATGACCAGACAGTGACTTCCTTCTCTGCCTTTTACACAGGAGACAATGAGCTCCAGGTGCTGTGTGCCATCGGCTGTGCCTCGTGCTCGAAATCCCTCAGTGGTCTTGCATTAAAATGCCAGAATCAGGACAATGTGACCCCAGGATGACACAGCACTTTGGGCTGTGTGGAAGTAGGAGGGGATGGATGGGAATTTTCCTGTCAAAATTGCTACAGACTGTACATTAAAAAAATGCCAGGCTGTCAGGAGTCTGCTGGTGGAAAAATGTCTGATGTCTGAGAAAAATGGATGAAGCCTCAACCAGTTTCCCAGGCTTTTAGTGACACACTATGGAGTGAACTTCATCATTATGTCCTCCTGCTGCAGTCAGATAGGGAGGGGTACCTGTGGAGATGCAGCTGTTTTGACTGGGATGAGGAAGCTTTGCAATTGCTTTGTGTAATCCTGTGTGCAAATACCCCTTGCAGGGGAGCCCCAGAAGCTGCTCCCACTTCTTTATGGTTAGGTGTAATGGTGAAACCACAAGCACACGTGAGAAAATACACCTTTGAGTGTGGAGTTGTCTGTGTGCAGGTAAGAAAGAGGCCCGCAGCTATCAGCCCTCTCCCATGTCTCCTAATAAAGAAGCTAATGGCATCCCCAAGTGGTCTGGGACCACATCAGCAAAGCTGATGCAAAGATGAGCTAAGCAGCACTGGTAATGTGAGCTGCAGCAAAGCCTGTGCAGGCAGAGAGCTGAGCTTCCAGGAGGGGAGCACCCACTTGGGAAGATCTGCACTATTTCTGAAAAACTTCCTCCTCCAAAGGCATCAGGGCAGAAAATGGCAGTAATGCCATTTCCCTGACTGACTCTGCCATGAGTTTCATTCCTTGAGCTAAAAATGAGCAGCCAGGAATGGGGAGGAAGATAACTCAAAGCTGGGCAGAGGCAGAGACCAAGACTAAGTCTCTGTGCTTGCTCCATTGTCAGGCAGGCAAGGAGATGTTCCAGAGGATGGGGCCTACTCTTGGTGAAGAACACAAGGTCTTCGCTTTGTCAGTGTAGGGGTGATCCCACGTTGTATTTGGGCAGCAGGAACGTGATGCTGTTGTGGGACAGCAGAAAGGCACTTGCAAGGTGTGGAGGTGATGCCTGTGAAGCATTGCTTGGCCAGCATGCTGCCAGCCCTTTTCTGGACCACCATGAACTCCCATCCTTCTGCCCTATGGCAGCTGCTTTGCCATCCAATAAAGGGATGAACCTCTAGGCACAGTAAGAGGAGGCACTGGTACCCAGGTTGCTCATCCCAGCCTGGGTGACAGCCATCACTGCCTGGAGACCCCTAGGCCATGGCTGGAGAAAACGAGGGGGAGGTGACACTGCTAGGGTATTTTCCTAATGCAGGTTCCTCTGGGGGCTGGAGAGGAAAAGGAGGGTGAATGTAGAGAAGCGTCCTTTGTCTCCCTGCTTTGCTCGCCACCTTCTCCCCACAAAACCTGTGAGAAGAGCGAGCTCTTCTTGTCTGCTTTTGCTTTTCCTCACAAGCTCCCTCTGCCAATATCGCTGCCAGTTTAATCTGCTGTGAGGAAACACACCATTCCCCCACCACAGGCTCCAAACATTGCTCAGTTTTCCTCCCCAGTGCAGCAGGCTTTGCAGTGAGCCTGTTATTGCTCACCACAGGGCACCTTGGTGCATGGATCACCCCATCACCACCCTCTCCCCATTCCCACTGCTCACTCTGGTCTGCTCTCTGCTCTCCTCTTTCATTTCCCCTCTCTCTGATGTGGTTCCCATGGAGATCCAAGGTACCAGTAGTGCCCTTCCTCTGCAGCCTGAGGGAGGGGGTTAGTGGGATGATTTTGGGCTCACCTGGGCTGACGTTGCATTCAATCCCAGAAGTCCAGCTACAAGGTGCTAGAAGTTCTGGTTTGTCTCTCTGCTACTTGACTCCTTCACAACAACTGGGCATTGGCCTGTTCTTTGCCTTTTTTAGCAGCCCTCCAGCCTCTCTCCATTGGACATAGAAGGGGTAGTTCACCTGTTCTTTGCATCCTGCCATACCCAGCAGTGGTCCCAGTTGTAAAAGCAAAAAAAAAAAAAAAAGACATTTGAGGTTTGATTTGAAAATTCATGTGGGGATGCACCACTGCCTGTTGCCTTGAAGAATTTACCCACTCCACTGCAGCAGCCTGGCATTTGTCTGTTTGCTACCTTTTCTTTACATATGACTGTGAATATGACTCAGTCACCTGATTTCTTGGTCCTTGCATGAAAGGTGAATCTTGACCTCACTGCTCCAACACATAAACCGGGAACATAGCAGAGCAATTTCCTCTGGAAAGGAATCAGATGTACCAGCATGGTAGGTATCAAAACTCAGGATGGGAATGCAAAGTGCCAGGGTACTGATGGTGCCCTTGAGAATGAGTCCTTTTCTTCTGGTTATGCTGTTCTTACTCTCAT